AGCTCAGCGGGGAGCCTGTTTCTCCCTTTCCCACTCCCCCTACTTGTGCTCTCTCTGTCTCTCTCTCTCAAATGAATAAATAAAAAAAATATTTAGAAAAAAGAAAAAAGAAAAGAAAACTCAGGGGCACCTGAGTGGCTCAGTGGGTAAGGTGTCTGCCTTCAGTTCAGGTTATGATCCTGTGTTCCTGGAATTAAGCCCTGTGTCAGACTCCCTTCTCAACAGGAAGTCTGCTTCTTCCTTTTTTTGCTCCCCTTGCTTGTGTTCTCTCTGTGTGTGTGTGTCTCTCTCTGTGTTAATTAAATAAATAAAATCTTTAAAAAAACTGATAAATATTTTTTAAAATTTCATTTAAAAATAATAATATTGGGGCACCTGAGTGGCTCAGTTGGTTAAGTGTCTGCCTTCAGGTCAGATCATGATCCCCGGGATCAAGCCCACATCGGGCTCCCTGCTGAGCAGGGAGTCTGTTTCTCCCTCTCTTACTTCCCCTGCTTGTGCTCTCTCTCTCTCTCTCTCTCCCTGTCAATTAAATAAATAAAATCTTTTTTAAAAATGATAACAATAACAGTATTAAGCCCTTATATGCTAGCATAAATAATATATTTTATTTTTGCCATATCTCCTTAATATCTGGTTCCACTCTATGATAAATGAACAAATCTAGCAGGCTTAAAATCTGTAAGGTTATAGCTGAACTCAATGGCACCATCAATCAACTGGATATAATGGATATCTATAGACTACTTTATCCAACAACACTAGATTATACACTCTTCTCAAGCTCACATGAAACATTTACCAAGACAGACCACATTCTGGGCTATAAAACATGTCTTGCCAAATTTAAAAGATTAGAAATCATACAATGTCTGCTCTAGGCCACAAGAGAAGTAAACTAGAAATCGATAACAGAAAGATAGCTAGAAAATCCCAAAATACTTAGTGATTAAACAACACACTTCTAACACATGGGTCAAAGAAGAAATTTCTAAAGAAATTAAACAATATTTTGAACTAAATGAAAATGAAAAGAAAACTTAACAAAATTTGTTTGGATACAGCAAAAGCAGTGCTTAGAGGGAAATTTATAGCATTGAATGCCTATATTAGAAAAGAAGAAAGATCTAGAAATCAACCATCTAAACTTCCATTTTAGGAAACTAGAAAAAGAAAGAGCAAATTAAATTCAAAGCAAGCAGAAGAAAAGGAATAATAAAAATTAGAGCAGAAATCAATGAAATTAAAAACAGGAAATCAATAGAGAAAATCAATTAAACCAAAAGCTGGTTCTTTGAAAAGATCAATAAAATCAACAAGCCTCTAGCCAGGCTAAGTTAAAAAAGGAGAAGACACAAATTCCTAACATCAGAAATGAAAGGAAGGACATCCCTGCAGATCCCTTTGAACAATTCTATGCCCATGAATTTGATAGTGTAGGTGAAATCAACCAGTTTTTTGACTCAATTTGCCACACAATTCACACTAGAATAAATAGACAATATGAAAAACCTCATTAAAGAAATTGAATCAAAAATAATAATGTTCCAAAACAGAAAGCACCAGGACCAGGTAGGCATACTGCCAAATTGGTGAAATCTACCAAACATTTAAGGAAGAAATTATGCCAAGTCTCTACAATTTCCTTCAGAACATAGCAGAGGGAATACTTCCTAACCTGATTGTCCATTTTTATGGAGAGGCAAAAGACTCAGAGTAACCAACAGATAATTGAAGAAGAAAAAGTTGGAGGACTGATGCTACCCTACTTCAAGACTTACTACAAGGCTATGGTAATCAAGACAGTATGGTTTTGGCAGAAGAATGGACAAATAGATCAATAGTACAGAATAGAGAGCCCAGATAGTCCCCCACAAATATAGTCAACTGATTTTCAACAAAGAAGCAAAGGTAAATAATACAATGGAGAAAAGATAGTCTTTTCAACAAATGTACTAGACTAGAATGGCTACACAGCCACGTGCAAAAAAAATGAATCTAGACACAGACCTTATACCCTTCACAAAAGTTAACTCAAAATGGATCACATCTAAACGTAAAATGCAAATATATAAAACCCCTAAAAGATAGCGCAGAAGAAAACCTACATGACTTTTTAGGTTTTGCAATGACTTTAGATACAATGCATGGTACAATATTTGAAAGAAAATAGATAAGCTGAATTCATTAAATTAAAAAACTTCTGCTGTATGAAAGACAGTGTCAAGCAGATGAAAAGATAAGCCACAGACTTGAAGGAAATGTTGCAAAAGACATATCTGATAAAGGACTGTTCTCTAAGATGTATAAGGAACTCTAAAAACTCAACAACAATATAAACAACCCTCTTTAAAAAAAAAACAAAAAAATCTCACCAATTAAGACATACAGATGGCAAATAAGCATAGGAAAGGAAAATTTCAGATAAATGGAAATTAAAAAGAATGAGTTACCACTATACACCTGTTAGTATGGCCAAAACCCAGAATACTGATAACACCAAATTCTGGTGAGGATATGGAGAAACAGGAGCTCTCATTCATTGCTGGAGGAGATGCAAAACAGTACAGACACTTTGGAAGACAACTTGGTAGTTTCTTTACAAAATTAAACATATTCTTAACATACAATCCAGCGGGATCCCTGGGTGGTGCAGCGGTTTGGCGCCTGCCTTTGGCCCAGGGCGCGATCCTGGAGACCCGGGATCGAATCCCACATCGGGCTCCCAGTGCATGGAGCCTGCTTCTCCCTCTGCCTATGTCTCTACCTCTCTCTCTCTCTCTCTCTGTGTGACTATCATAAATTAAAAAAAAAAAACACAAAAAACAACAACAACAAAAAAAGCATACAATCCAGCAGTTGGGCTCTTTGATATTTGCCAAAATTAGTTGAAAACTTATGTCTACAAAAACAAACAAACAAAAACTTGCAAACACACTTTTGTGGGAATGTACAATGGTATATTTGATGTGGAAAACACTGTGGCAATTCCTCAAAAAATTAAACAGAATTACCATGTGATCCAGCAGTTCCACTTCCAGGTATATGACTAAAGAATTGAAATCAGAGTCTCAAAGAAATATTTGTATGCCCATGTTCAGAGCAGCACAATTCATAATAGCTAGAACTTGGATGACACTTGTGCCCATCAATGGATGAATGGACAAGTAAAACGTGGTATACACACACACAATGGAATATTATTCGGCTTAAGGAGGGAGGAAATTCTGCAATATGTTACAATATGGATGCACCTTAAAGCCAGTTGCAGAAGGACAAATACTGTGAGATACTTAGTCAAAAATCACAGAGACAGGGATCCCTGGGTGGCTCAGTGGCTCAGCAGTTTGGCGCCTGCCTTTGGCCCAGGGAATGATCCTGGAGTCCTGGGATTGAGTCCCATGTCAGGCTCCCAGCATGGAGCCTGCTTCTCCCTCTGCCCCCTCCCCCACCATGTCTATCATGAATAAATAAAAAAAAAATCACAGAGACAGAAAGTAGAATGGTGGTTGCCAGTGGCTAGAGAGAGAGGAGAATGGGCATTATTGTTTATTAATGGATAGTTTGGGTTTTACAAAATGAATAAAAATCTGGAGAAGGATGATGGTGATGGTTGCACAATATTATGAATGTTTTTAATTCCACTGAAATGTGAAAATGGTTAAGGTGAGGGACTTGTGGATGGCTCAGTCAGTTAGGCATCTGACTCTTGATCTCAGCTTAGGTCTTGATCTCATGGTTGTGGGTTCAAGCCCCATGTTGGGCCCCATGTTGGGCTCCATGCTGGGCATGGAGCCTACTTTAAAAAATGGTTAAGGGATCCCTGGGTGGCACAGCGGTTTGGTGCCTGCCTTTGGCCCGGGGCGCGATCCTGGAGACCCGGGATTGAGTCCCACGTCGGGCTCCCGGTGCATGGAGCCTGCTTCTCCCTCTGCCTGTGTCTCTGCCTCTCTCTCTCTCTCTCTCTCTGTGACTATCATAAATAAATAAAAAAATTTAAAAAATGGTTAAAGTGGCAAATATTATGTTAAGTTTATTATGTTAAGTGTATTTTACCACAGTAAAAAAAATTGGGGGAAAAAAACCTCTGTGTGTGGATGTTTATAGCAGTTTTATTCATAATTGCCAAAACTTGGAAGCAATTAAAATGTCCTTCAGTGTAAACTGTGGGACATTCAGAGAATGGAATATTATTTAGTGCTAAAAGAAATGAATTATCAAGTCGTGGACAAACGTGAAAGAACCTTAACTGCATATTACTAACTAAGAGAAGACAATCTGAAAAGGCTCTACCCTGAATGGTTTCAACTACGTGACATTTTGAAGAAGGTAAAACTATGGAGACAGTAAAGAATCAGTATCAGTGGTTGCCAGTGGCAAGATAGGGATGCATAGGTGGAGCACAGATTTTTAGGTCAGTGAAACTATTCTGTATGATGCCAAAATGGTGGATACACACCATTATAAATTTGTCCAATGGGCAGCCTGGGTGGCTCAGCGGTTTGAGCACTTGCCTTCGGCCCAGGGCGTGACCCTGGAGTCCTGGGATTGAGTCCCACGTTGGGTTCCCTGCATGGAGCCTGCTTCTCCCTGCACCTGTGTCTCTGCCTCTCTCTCTCTCTCTCTCTATCATGAATAAATAATTATTTTTTAAAAATAAATTTGTCCAAGCCCATAGAATGTACAACAGCAAAAGTGAACCCTAACATAAGCAAGGATTTTGTAGGTTAGTAATGGGTCATTGTAGGCTCATCATTTGTAACAAATGTACCACTCTGGTGCAGGATGTTGATAATGGGGGAGGCTATGCATGCATAGGCGTGGGCTTTATATAGTAAATCTTTGTACCTTCTGCTCAATATTGATGTGAACCTAAAACTTGTCTAAAAAATAAAATCTATTTTTAAAAAAATCTAGTCCATAGAAGATATCAGACTATCATATCTCCTTCTGCATTAGATCTCCTGCTGCTAGAGAAAACCAGAGCCAGACAGAAGAAGTAGTGAAGGCAAATTTTATTCAGGAGCTGTTGCAATAGGGAAAGGGAGAGCTCACTGTAGAACTGGACTCTATTCTGAATACAAAAAGGACAAGCATGGATTTATGGGCGAGGAACAGGGTGGGATAAATGGATAGAAAATTGCTAAGAAGAAACATCAGGGCTAAGGAGAATTCTGGCTAAACCTCCTTGATAGGATTTTTGCTGAAGGCAGGCTAAGGGGGTCAGATGCAAGACAGGGGTTAAAGTGACTCAGATAGATTCTTGCTAAAACTGGAATATGGGGGCCAACCACAGAACCCAAGTTTAGGGCCTTGAGGAATTTAGAGGAGCCTGACTAGAGTTAGGAGTTCTTGTCACTGCAATAGTCCTGGTTACTACTTTCTATTTTAAATTATATTTTGTCATTAGGTCACACTCTGGTCTATAGGGCACTACCCAAGGGCTGCTTTCTAAAGCTGGGTTAGGAAGAAGGATCCTCAAATGGCTACTTCCTTACATGTAGACACCAAAGGCATTCAAGATGTCTTCCCTCATTCCCCTGTTTTTAAACACGGAGAAATACCAGGACGAAAAATGTTGTAGTCCTTTCTCACACCTAACAAAGGTGACTAGTATATGATTCAAATCCTGGCTTTAGCCCTGAATAGCTATTTGAATCCATATTTCCATTCTTGCAAAACAGAAATACCAATGTACACCTTTCTGGGCTCTTCTATGTCTGGCTCAGGCTAATAAATGTCCCATATTAAATAGAACCGTTTTGCTGCATCCTGTCTTCCTCAAGACTTACCTTCCTTCCCATTGATAGCTCCACCTAAATATGGGATTCCCTAATCCCATGTTTGTATTGGAATCTTTCATACACCCCCAAGAATCATTCATTACTTAATACTCTAGCTTGAAAAGTAGGAAGGACAACTGGGAATAACGGTTAGCCTGATGGGGGGTAGGAGGTCTGGCGTGAAGGCGAAGCGCGCGTAGGTCGGAGAAGCAGTTCGGGTGAAGGCCTCAGCCGGAGGGAACAGTCTTCTAAGATAACCCGAGGTACTTTAGACAGCCCGCAGTTAGATACCTGAGGAGACAATGCTGCTAATGAGATTGGGGAAGTAGATCTGTAAACCGTTTAAGAATACTCAGAGCCGTCCTAACGGTTTGGGTAAGCCAGTGAAGGTCTTAAATGGGGGGTCAATTTATGTTTTAAAGAGATCGCGCAGCTGTGTGAACGGTGGCCCGGCTCACGGGTGAGCTTGGACTTTATTCTGAAGGGAGAACGGGGAAGAAGCCTCCCTAACATTTCAACCCGGGAGCGACCCGTTCCGAGGAGGGTTTGCGAGCACCTCACCCGGCCGGCGGCGGGCAGGAGGCTGCCTGAGGCGCGCCCGGAGGGAGCAGGGACCCGCGGGAGGGAGCCCGCAGGGCGGCTTCCGAGGCCCGGCCCCGCCGCCTGGGCCACGGGAACAGCCGCCGGGCGGGAGGGGGCGCGGCCGCGGCCGGAGACGCCGAGGGCTCGGGCGCCGGGGGCGGGCCCGGGGCACGCACGGCGCGTGACGCACGGCCGCGGCCCGCCTCGTTCTGGCCGCCGCCGCCGCTCTGAGGCGGAGTAGGATGAGGCCCGCGGCCGCGGCTCCGGCGTCGGCGGGGGCAGCAGCAGCTGAGGCAGCAGCTGGGGCAGCCGCGGCAGCCGCGCCCCCTGCCCCTGACCCGCGTTAGGCCCGGCAGCTCGGTGGCCGCCGCCGCCCCGCGGGGGGGCGGGGTGGGGAAGGGCTCCGTCTCCCCGCCCCCCCCCCCCCAGTGCCGCCTCGCAGGAGGCGCCCGTCGCGACCCCAGCGGAGCCCAGCCTTGAGCCCCCGGGCCGGGGCCTGGCATGAGCAGCCCTCCGGCGGCGCCGGGGCGCGGGGGAGCCGCCGCCTGAGCCCGGCCTGCCGCCGACCCCGCCTCGCTGGCCCGGCGCGTGCGAACGGCCCGCCGCTGCTTCTGCCTCCTCCGGATCACACCTCGTAGCCTCGGAAGATGGGGAACTGCCTCAAGTCCCCCACCTCGGATGACATCTCCCTGCTTCACGAGTCCCAGTCCGACCGCGCTAGTTTCGGCGAGGGGACGGAGCCGGACCAGGAGCCGCCGCCGCCATATCAGGTAGGGGAGGCTGTGTGTTGGGGAGGAGCGGGGCGAGGCGGCCCGAGCGGGGGGGGGCGGGGGGGGCGTCGGGGCCCGAGGGGAGCGGGGGAGCCGAGGGGGGCCGAGGGGCCGGGGGGGCGCCGAGGGGGCCGAGGGGCTGTCACCGCCCCGGCCTCGCCCGGCCCGGCCTGGGGGGCGGCGGCCCTAGGGCGGGGACTGAAGGTGATCGCCGCCCCTCCCGGGGTAAGGGGGACCCTTCACCTCCCATCAGGAACGGCGTGGGGACGGCCCTCTCTGTCCTTGAGTTCTGGGATCCGAGTGGTGACAGTATCCTCCTCGCTTGTGGAATTTGGGGATGACCTCGTTCCGCCTTTATGTCTAAAGCGTGGAATCTGGTATGAGATGTGGGGGACGTTTCCTCCTCGCGCCGCCGCCTGGACTGTGGGTTCTGGGTAGGTGGTTGCCCCCCACCTCCTCGTCATGTGTGGCCATCCGCTCCCCCTCCCCTCCCTGTACCCTGCGTTAATTGAATCTGGTAGGTGCTCATTTCTCCTACATGAGAAAAGATCAAGTGGTGATTTTAGTGCTGGCGACATCAGGAGTTACTTGTTTATACATATGTGTGTGTGTATGTATTAATTTTGATCCCTCCTCCTCTCGCTCCACCCTATGACACACCTTTTAAACGCGCTGATTCAATAAAACTTGAGTATCTTGAACTTTGGAAACCTTTAAACCTGACTTGAATACCTTCTGTTACTCGTGGTTCTCAGTTCGTATCAAAGACTTGCTCCTAAACAGTTTCATCGCTTTTTGTACAGCAATCCGTCCTATATATGTTTACAGTTAATAAAAAAGCTAAGATCTCTTGAACTCCAAATAGATAATGTAGATCTTATTTAGAATATATAAAAGCCTTTTCTCTACTTTTCAATTTTGAATGATATTGGTTAGCTTTTTTTCCAGAGGGGTTTAAATAGTTAAATGCCTTAATTTTTTTAACTGAAGGGGGTTTAGTTTTCTAACCGGGCAGTCTCCTTTGTTGTTTCATGTGGTGACATCATTATCTAGTGTTATTCTTCTCTCATTCCTGTGTAAACCAGTGTCTCATCACACCAGAAAAACCTGATCACATATCCTGGTTTTGTGAATAAAACCCTCAGGGTCCTTTCATATATATATATATATATATATGCCAGTAAAGTCCAGTCTTAATCGTGGCATACAGAAGCCTCCATGGTTTATCTTTCACATTCTGTATTTCAGGCCTGCCAAATACATCAGTTCACATCTCTGCCTTTGCTCCAGTTGCTCCCTCTGCTAGGATCCCTTCCCCCAAGGTCAGCAAGGTGAACATCTAATCCTCTTTAAAGACTCAGCTCTCCTGTCACCACTCTCCCAGGTCTCTACCTTCTCCTCCCTCCCCCTGTGAATCCATCCCTCAGTTGTTTGTGGAGCACCCCCCCACCCTCCCCCCATTCCATAAGCAGCACAAACAACACTTGGGGTGTTAATATCTTTGTTTTGTTAGATGTAGGTTTCATCCTTATGGCATTTCCTTCTGCCTCCAGTGTAAGCTGCTGGCAGGTAGGGACCCTTGTGTCACCTGCTATGCTGTTACATCCCCAGCATCTGGCTCATAGTAAATATTCAGTAGCTTGTGGGACTGAATAAGTGAAGACTAAGCTCTTAAGAACAAGGACTGTATCCTCAATGTTTCATGAAATTACTGGCACTTAAAAAAAAGAAATTACTGGCACTTAAGCATTTAAATGTTGAATGAATTAATGAATTTGAATTCAGTACCTTGTGTGGTAAGTTTACACACCTGTTTCTTCCAGAGAGTGTCACAGGGAAGTCTTTTCATATTTTTGAATATTTGAAGCAAGTAAATTGTTTATATTTCACTTTTCATTTCCCTCAAATGCTATAGGGCAGTGTGCTTATTTTAGCTTCCTGAGCAAATTTTTGTAGAGGTATGATTTTTATTTCAAAATCTCCTTCCATACTCCCTAATCCCTTTCCAGGCAAATTGAATATCCTGACTTAATGGCCCTTTTTCTCTTACCCGCACGGTAATACAGTGTTAAGGATAACATAATTTTTAGGAATTGTATTTGGTTTTTCCAGGAGAACTAGGTGATAGATTTTTTTTTTTTTAATCATGAAGGAACATGTTATTTGTGACAGCAGGAGTTTTTGTGGTTGCCCTTTTTTGAAGTGAGTGACCCAGATACTGATGCAAATTTCGTATCAATTGAAATAAAACTTTAATGGGAGCATAAAGAAACTTTTGTAGAAAAAGCTTTGTCCCCTCCCAAAGGAAATAAGATTTTTCGGAATGGTTAATTTAAATGATCTGAGAAACACCAGTCCAAGGGGAAATGATTTATATTTTCAGTGGACAGAAGTAACATTTTTTCTTCAAAAATAGTATATAATTAAAAGAGCTACAAGAATAGCATATTTCTTGAAAGAATAGTCTCAGCTGCAATAGGATCTTTAAAAATCTTTAAAGCTGATTATAGAGGAACACAGTATTTTTCTGTAGTGGGTGGTTAAAAGATGTCCTTTTTGTGTTGCATGGTGTAGGTAAATGCTAAGAGCTCTACTTAGTAAATTTCTAGGTTATTTCCTATTAGAAGGACCTGACAGATGTATTTAATTTATGTTTAAAAAGTAAACTCTATGCCATTATGGTGAAAGTTTATAGGAAGTACCTGTTTATTTCCTGTGTTTAGTTAGTATTCTAACTGGTCTCACTGTATTCACCCTTGCCTTCCCTACAGTCTGTTCTTAACCCAGCAGTCAGTTATTCTGGTAAAACAAATCATGTCTCAAAAAAACAACTACAAATCATGTCTCTTGGTGCAACCTTATGTGGATCTCCATTTCATTCACAGTAAAAGGCAAATCCCTCTGTGTCCATAAGCCCTACATTATCTGTATATCCCCAACACATATCTCTCTTGATGCTGACTTCTTACTAGTTTTCCCCCTGCTGACATCCCTTTAGCTTCTTTGGCCTACTTGTTCCTAGGATACTCCAGGACCTTTTCCCTCATTGTTTTTATGCCTGGAGTGCTCTTCTCCAGGTATTTGCATTGCTGATTCTCTCACCTCCTTCAGGTCTTTACTCAAAGGACACCTTCATAAACACTTTCTGAACACCCCATTTAAAATTACAACCTGCCTCAACACCCTGGAATTCTCATTCTCTCATACTGTTTTTTTCCCCGTAACTTTTATCACTTTCTAACACACTGTCTTTATTTTGTTTATTGCTTGTTATCTGTCTTCTCCCACTAAGGCTAAATAAACTCCTTGAGGAAAGGTTTTTTTTTTTTTAATGGTTGAAAAGTGCCTGGCACATATTAGATAATCAATTATTGGTTGAATGAATGGATTTCTTTTAAATGAATTAATATTTTGAGGCCAGTGCTATTTTTTTTTAATTTATTTATGATAGTCGCAGAGAGAGAGAGAGAGAGAGAGGCAGAGACACAGGCAGAGGGAGAAGCAGGCTCCATGCACCGGAAGCCCGAGGTGGGATTCGATCCCGGGCCTCCAGGATCGCGCCCCGGGCCAAAGGCAGGCGCCAAACCGCTGCGCCACCCAGGGATCCCCGAGGCCAGTGCTATTTAATATCTTGTAAGAACTGCGCATTCCAAGTGCCTTCTTTCCTCTTTGTGGGTCCTTTTTAAGGAATCAATCCTACAAGTCAAATTTTAGCCATCAGGAATTGGTTTAAAATAATTATAAAATAATTTAGGGTGTTTAAAATATATACAGTATATATTCTGTAATGTTTATTTTATGGGAAAATGAATCTTTGTCCATAAAGAAATGGGAGGGAAGAGGTTACAGCTTTTCTTGAATTATAAGGGAAAAACAAAGAAATTGGCCTACCCTCTACTCTGTCCTTCCTGAATATTTCAAAAGAATGCAAAGAAATCTGCCCATCAAGGTCAGTCTTAGAAAGGTTGTGAGAGGGTAGGTAAATCATGAAAGGCTGGAGGATGAAGGTGGTCCGTAAGAGGAAAGGCCAGCTGGTAGCCCAGTGTTGAAAGGAATATTTGAACAGGTTGAAGTACCTGCATGAAGTACTGTTACTCTAAAACACCAGGCACCCTCATTTGTCGTATGCTAATTCAAGAGTAGCACTTTGTTAAAAAGAAGTTAATATTCACTGAACAACAAAAGCCACTTTACAGTATTTCTGTCTGAATACTGTGATATCTATATTATAAATACAAAGATTGGTATCAGTTTTGCAGCAGTTACACAGTTTGAGATTGATCTCTTCTGTCCTATACTTTGAGATTAATTCATTTGGGATTTTTAAATCAGAAGAAAGTAAGTTAATGAGTACAAGCGTACCTCTGGTTTTGGAGTCAGATGGATCTGAGTTCAAATCCTAATTGTCACTTACTTGTAAAATATGAAGAGAGTTTATAAGATTATGTTGTGTTTTGAGGAACTTTTCACGAATGACATTTTGGATATTTCAAATGGTGACTGAATAAAGCTTCAAGATACTTTTATAAAAAAGACTTGGTTTCCTATAAGAACTTAGTATTCATCCTCCTTTAAAAATCTAAAAATACTTATTTTTGACTATTTAAAGCTGTAATATATTACCTTGTTTTTCTGATAATGTGAAATTAAATTCAGGTATTTGAAAATTTTTTATGTATTACATTTTCTATACCTTTTTGGAAATCAATCTGTATTTCACATATCTTAATTTTATTAAATTTAACTTTAAAAAGTTTCCTTTGTGTGAAATTTTATCCCTGCCTCTTCAAGTTGTCTTTTAAGGTGCAGATCAAATCCAAAGTCTTAAAGCATCCCTTGACCATTTTTGTTTGTAATATTTATCTAGAAATCATATATTGCTTGATTAGTTAATTAGCTCTTAGTACTTTAATAATGATTATTTTTCCAGATTACAGTTTCTTTAAAAATTAAATGATGTGGGGGTCGTTCGGTAGCACAGTCGGTTGAGCGTCCAGCTCTTCCTACTCAGGTCATGATCTCAGGATCATGGGATGGAGCCCCACAATGGACTATGTACTTGGTGAGGAATCTGCTTCTTTCTCTTCCTCTCCCTTTGCCACTTGCCTCCCCTCCCCGCTCGTGCACATGCACACTTTCTCTCACATTAATAAATCTTTTTTAAAAAAAATGAATGATGTGTTAAGATTTTTAAAATCTCTCAGTGGAGTGGAATGGCTTCCTACACATTGTAGATACGTAGTGCCTTAGAACTCTGTGTTCTCCCTCTTATACTGTAACCACCATGATTGAAGTCCTCGCTACCTCTCATGGTAACCTAATTGATGTATCCTCTTCCCCATTCATTTCATTCTTCAATGCTAGATAAATCTCCAGATCAGATACCTTGCCTCTTAATCCTTAATGATTCTTAATGACTTATTACTGAAGATCTCGGTATTAGCAACCAGATTCATGATCTAGCTCCTTATAGTTTTCCAGCTTTTTGTAGTCTCATATACAATTTATACTCTAATCAGACTGAACAGTTTGCTATAATTCTATATATGCCTTCTGCTTTCCAGCCTCTACCTGTGTTCTGTTTCCATTGCCCAGAATTCTCTTCCCTTAGTTGTTCCCAGTATGTTATAGCTTTCAAGGTCCAGCTCATATGCCATGAGTCCTTTACTGATCTCCCCTAATGTAAATAAC